TTCCCGACAGTAGAGAAGGTATTTGACACATTTTTTGTACAATTTTTTAGTACAAATTCCAACCTCTCCCATCTTTAACGAAGTTATTTTACCTAATGTCAGAACCTGGTTTCTTGAAAGACAACTCTCATCAATGAGTATATATAATTTCCTACTTCTATTCTTCACGGCAATATATTACACAACAACGAGTACATACCTACTATCTCTTAACCTGATATCCTACTATTTAACCTAATTATTTAGTTCTCAACGGAAGTGGTAACAGCATTTAGAATATTTTTTATATAAAGAAAATTAGTATATATTAAACAGCAATTTGCTGCTGTTAAAAGAACTAGCACCACCTGATATTCCATAAATTTAATGATTCCATCATTTCTCTATGATTTCTTATGATTTTTCAAAGCAAGACTTCTATATTTCTCGCACTCTTCTATTAAGAGACCGCAAGCGATCCAACGTCGACTTCATGATACCGTAACCACGGCAATCAGTAGTCGCATCTAGTCAACGAAAATGAACACATCTTTTTTGGCACTTAAACTGAATTCTTAAATATCGAATATTCCATCCCCTTATTCAATATACTTTTATTTAAACTTAATTAAATTTTTTTTCAATTTAAAAAAGAAAATAAAGGAAAAAAACAGTGAATGTAAATATTATCCACAAAAAAGTTTTTCAAATAGTTTATGTTTGTATTATTATTATTATTATTATTATTAGTGTATTATGCCTAACGTAGGGTATTTAAAAATATCGTGATAAGCTGTTGTTGCAACGTACTATGTCACGAAAGAGCAAGGGGTATCTGCTGTTACATCACTAATAGTAAAATTATAAAATTTGACAAGGTCTACTTAAAATTTGAAGAAAAAAAGTGTATAAATTCTTTGAGTTAGACTAATAAAATATCAAAAAGAAATGATTTTTGGTCATAAGATTTTTGCCATGAGCCTTTAAAGTGGTTGTAATTGTTGTATTTACAGAAAATATGTTTTACGAATTTTCTAATGTACTAATCCAATAGATCGAGATGGCATTCTGCCAGTAATTTTCACCTATTGAAAATCACTATTTTAGTTTTGAATAGAAAATTAATTATTTTACAGACAAATGGAATTATTCTCTGAAAGATCATATGATTTCTAAACATTTATAATTTATTTAAACAATAAATTACAATGGGCAGTCTCGTTAGTCCAGTCAGAAATAGGTTAAACTTGCAGGCATCCAAATCGTAATTTATTATTTACTTAAAAGAGATTAGAATTAATGTCGATGTAAAAAAAAATGGTCCTGAGTTTAGATCTATTTAAACTTTAGAAGAACTTGTCAGCATTTTTCTTCTCACACGACTAACCTATTTAGATTGCCTTAAGTCTTTGGTCCATGGTCTTGCTAACAATTTGTATTTCCACTATCAATTTATTTTTAAATATAAGTATTGATGCAGTCTGACAAGTGAACATTTAGGAGAATAGATATTCCATATAAAGTTAAGGCAGAGTTCAGACATCCTTCTTTGAAAGATTGTCAACTGTTTTGTTACCTTCGAATGTCACGTGACCAGATATCCAAACAAATATTACGAAAAAGTATATTTTAGTCAATTTATATAAGATATTTTTCCAACTATGGACCGATTGGGATATAATAGCACAAGATTGTTTAAATTTTATAGATTATAGAATCTGATAACGCAAATATATGATAATGTTGGCGTTGTATGGTAAGAACTACTGCCTGAAAAACTATAACGGCTAAACTGAATCTGAGTTCATGAAGTCAACAACTTTGTATATATTCATGAATTTCAGAAAACTTTAATAAAAAAAAAAATTAGAACAAAATGAAAAGCGATTAGAATTGGACACATGCAATATTTTCTTTGAGACCACAACTGCACTGCAACAAAGTTCTCAATTCCCGGCATAAAATTTCCGATAAAGATAGACGCCTTCCCTTTGCAGCAAGAACTGTTCTAACTAAATTGAGTTCAGGATATACATTGTGACCGAAAAGTTTTCGGAAATTCTCATTTAAAATTCGCGCGCTGTATATTTTTCGATATTTTAAGTTTATGTAGTTTGGCAGCACTGTCCTTAATTACTATGCCAAAAATGAGCGCGATCTGTCAGACAGTTCGTTTTCGGCAGCTGTTGAAACCAGTTCACCTCAGTAGTGCGTTGCGAAAAAAACAATGGAAAAAAATATTGATCAAAGAGTTTGCATCAAATTTTGTGTTTCGAACGAATTTTCGTGTGCAGAATCGTTGCGAATGCTACAAAAGGCTTATGGGGAATCAGTTTTATCGAAAACTCAAGTTTATGAGTGGTACAAAGCCTTTCAGGACTGTCGTACGACCGTCGAAGACATGCCGCGTTCTGGACGACCTTCGACCTCTACCACCGACGAAAACATTGAAAAGGCAAAGGAAATCGTGTTCAAAAATCCTCATGTGAGTGTTAGAGAGATAGCACGAGAGCTAGGCATCGGTCGTGAGATGGCTCGTTTGATTTTGGTGGACAATTTGTGTATGCGACGTGTCAACGCTCGGCTTTTTCCGATTCACCTCAATTTGTTCCAAAAACACCATCGTGGACAGGTCTCGTTAGACATGCTTGATCGTGCCAATTCCGATCCAACTTTCATGGAACGCATCATAACGGGTGACGAGACATGGGTCTACGAGTACGACATGCAAACAAGCCAACAATCATCGGAATGGAGAGGAAAAGACGAGCCGAAACCGAAAAAACCACGCCAAAGTCGCTCGAAAATCAAGGCAATGCTGATTGTTTTCTTCGATATTCGTGGTGTGGTGCATCATGAATTCGTCCCTGAAGGACAAACAGTCAATAAAGACTATTATTTGGACTGTTTTAAGACGTTTGCGTGAAATATCCGCCGTAAACGGCCTCAATTGTGTAAGGATAATTCATGGATTTTTCATGACGATAATGCTCCCTCGCACCGAGCCAACATTATCAACGATTTTAAGGCCAAACATTCAATAAATACAATCGAACAGCCACCGTATTCACCTGATCTTGCACCGTGTGACTTTTTCCTGTTTCCCAAACTCAAATTACCACTCAGAGGAACGCGTTTTGAATCCATAGAAGACGTAAAACAGAATTCGCAGAGGGAACTCAAAGCCATACCGGAAAGCGCCTATAAAAAATGTTTTGATGATTGGAAGAAACTTTGGCATTTGTGTATCGCTTCTAATGGAGCATATTTTGAAGGAGATAAAATAAATATTGATGAAGATTAAGAATTTTGCGTTTTATTTAAAATTTCCGGAAACTTTTCGGTCACAATGTATCTATTTGCTAAGTAGTAATTTATCACGTATAAATGCAACAATTCCCAATGTGTGCCTCAACTGCCGCTCTACCTGTCATGATGTCACTCATTTATTTTCGTACTCAACGCGTACACTAACTCGATCGAGGTCAATCGATATTTGTACCCGCTCAATTGATGAGGCTAAGTTTCTCCATTTTGACTTTGGTTGACTTTAATTTTAATTTTACTAATCCTCCAATTGGATTTCACTTCATAATAATCCCCTTCCCTCTTACACTCCTCATGCACTTCCTAACCCATGTATTCATCTATGTTATCTGCTTTTCAGATCACTGTGGCCTACAACAAAAGCAAGAGTTAAAATTGTCTAACAGAAGAGAAGTTGTGTTCCAGCATGTCAATGCCAGACCCCACACATTAGAACCCAAAAGGAAGGAATCGATTTTGGAAGTTTTAATGCATTATTATTCGTATAGCTCGGACCGTGAACTATCTGCCTATCATTTGTTGCGGTCAATTTGTTATTTATAAAAAATTGGAGTTTCTGTCACAGTTTCTTATTGGTAAAAAATTGGCTTTTCGAAGACCCAAGTCACTTAGTAGTTCTACACCGATAGAATTATAAAGCTAACCGAAAAAGAACAAGAAATTATAATGGCCAATAAAAACTTTATAAAAAATAATTTTCAATAAAGAAAATTTTAATAAATATGTAATAAAAAACGCCGAATACTTTTTATATTACCCATTAATTAGTATCATAACTGTTTCATATCTATTTTATTTATCTGTATCCACTTGTGTTTAACGACTTTTATGCTACTCCACTTAAGTGATACATTCTCTTATATAACACTTTCATTAATATATGTAGGTATATACATATATATACACATATATGTATGTATATATATATATATATACAGTAATAAACATTAATAAACTGAAATTAAATGTTTTACTTGAGCTACATAGAATTGTCAATAAACACTAAATCACACTGTCATGCTAAGTATAGTGCAGTGCAGTGCAGTCCAGTCCGAAGGAACTGCCAACAAACCCGGTGCAAAGTACACATTAAACATGTTCAGCTTTCACGTCGCTGCATTGATTAAATAAAAAAAAAATAAAAAAAAAAAAAAATAAAAAAAAAATTTTAAAAAAAAAATTAAAAAAAAAATTTAAAAAAAAAAAATTAAATAAAAAAAATTAAATAAAAAAAACGTGTAAAAATGTGCGCATGTAGTCCAAATGTGTGAAAAATTTTAAGATTAAAGACAGTTCCACTAGTGTCGCTGGAACTACCACCAGACAATCCACACATGTTTTTCATGCTGGGATATTTGATACCCACTCATCCTTAAAGTGTGTCGTCTTCGAGAAACACAGAAACACGTTGTCTTAGCTCAAAATTTCCGTATAAAAAAAACGAGGAACATTAAATAGCGCAGCACTAAGCAAATAAAGCGTAAATAATCTTAAACAAAATATTGGTTGATGGGTTATCTTTATTGCTGCTTCTATTTGCTTTAGGTATCATATATATTTTTATGAACTGTTTTATTTCGTGTTTTTTTTTTTTTAATAAATAAATATATATTATCGTATTCTTTATATGTAGAAACCTTCATATAACGAAATAAAATAATATTTCGTTATCCAAATTTATAAATTTTACTTACCAATTACGTCCGCCGTATTGGTGGAAGTCTTGAAATATGAGTCTTCTCCATATTTGCCTGGTTTGTAGCGGGATGTTAGAAAGTCTTTGGGGAAACCACACACGACCGACACGAAATGTGGTTTTGATTTACTGGCGTTAGGAGTAGGTGCACTTTTATTGGCGGATTCCACTAAGGTCGAGAAACCACTACGCAAAGCACGCGAGATTAATCTCGAAGTCCAGCTGAGTGAATGCATGCTACACTACTGCGTCTAATATTATTTTTATTGGTTTTTGTTTTTATTCTCAATTCCACATTCACACTCACATTTGCAAAAAAAATTCAATTCACATTCAAAGCAATTGAATTCATACTATTAACGTTTTTATGTAATTTTATTTAGGAAAAAAAAACACTGATTTTTCGTGCCAATTTTCTTTTTTTTTTTTCTTTTTGTATTTTTTGCCACACACTTTAATACGTCAAAGTCACAAGGGAAGCGAAAATGTGCTCAAAACGGATTATGAAAGTTCATTTCGTTTAAGATTTCGATTGAAAAGTCCGTGACAAATTGTTTCGTTTACATAACTACAAATTTACTTTAAATATATTAGAACATCGATTAATGTAAAATTACTTATACATCACTCATCTTGCCCATGTGACAATTGTCCAACGAGTTTTCCCAATGAAAATTGTGAAATGTACGAACTACGCGTGAGACCAAAAATTTTTGACTGCAGAAAAAAATTGTATTGGAAAATTACTTGGTTTCGTTTGACAGGGTTGCCAAGACAATAAAAATAAAATGGTATCAATGTTAATTATTAATTAAATAAATGACAGATGACAGGTGGACATAATAAAATTAATGTAAGCAAAATGTTGTCATACAGACTTAATGACAACGAAAGGTTTTCATACAAAATTAATGGCAAGAAGGTTTTCATATAAAATTAATTACCTTGACAGGTTATCATACAAAATTAATGGTAATATTAGACGTGATACATGAGAATAATTGTTAATAATCAGCTAAACGCTAATAAGAGTATTAAAATAAAGTGGTTAATAAGATTATTAATGGAAACTTATTAAATTAAATTAAATATATTGAAAATTATGAAAAATAAGTGCAAGTAGTAAATAAATGTAAATCATAAATTTCAGAATATTTATATTTTAAAGGATATATCATAATGGTCAAATCCCAATTGTTATGAAACTGATTTTGATTTTCACAATTAGGCCGCGTGAAAAAATTTTGATCATTTGGACAGACTTATTTGATAATGGATTTTAATAAGGACAGCTATTTAAACAATTTTTTCCATTAAGCTATATTTTAATATAACTTAATTTTAGAGATATCGGGGTATAAAATTTGACATTTAAATGGGAAGTAGCAACAATGTAAATGTAAATGTCGTCACATAACGACCAGGCCTTTGTGTAATCAAGTTGTTTTAACTAGTACATGCAATGTACTAGTTGATGCTAAATGGAAGTTGTTTTGATTAATGTAATCAAGGTAAAATATTTCAATATTATATCTTCATACTACGAAAAGTAATCTGTTTCTAAATGGGCGTGCAAATCGTGCATATTTAGAAAAAATGTTACATAATCTAAATTTTAGTGTTTATAAATTATTTGTAGAAATCAAATAATTATTTTGCTATAACTGCAACTCATTGGTTATATTTTGCTTGAAATATTCACATATATTTAAATTCAATGAAAATATTTATTTGAAATGATTAAAGTACACATATCATTGAATTTATTACAGTTGAAACACAAACAGCGCGAGACAAGATTTAAAATAGTAAAATGTTTTAAATTATTCAATGAAAGATTTGAAAATATTAAATAATAATACTAAATGATTAAAAAATATATATATTCGCTAAAAGTGTCATAATTTAAAAATGATCAAAAACTAATAACATGTTCACATTGTAGCTTAAATCACTTACGTTAATAAAATTAAGACTTGGGCGTTTCCATTGGCATTAGCTGATTTATGCATGTGAAGCAATTGTTTGTTAACATTATTCTTATAAAACATGCAACAGATATTTTAAATTATTGTAATTTAACTTGTGTGAAATTTATCTTTAAGGATTACATTCGATATTTTTCGCCTTCAATAAGTGATTTTAACAAGTGATTTAATTGTAATAACCCCATTTATGTTAAAGCTATTTATATTGTAAACTATCCTCATTAGTATTAATGAATAAAACTGCCTTAATAAGGCAATAGAAACATGGTATAAGAAAGCATTATTAATAGATTGTGAGTATTGACTTTTTATGAAGTAATATATATGTAATATGCATAAAATAAATATTTCTAATATATTTCGTGTAATTTTTAAAAGATTACAAAATTCATTACGTACATTTAAAATATATAAAATAAAATTATAAGTTATTAATAATTTGTCACATCTAAATCAAAACATTAGCTTAGCCATCCCTTCATATAAATTTGACGTTTGTACGACTACTGCACTATCGACATTGTTGCTAAAAATTTCGCGGCTACGTTTATTAGTTTTTAGGCTTCTTTTGGTTTATAAACAAAAAATGGCAACAAAACGTAATAACTCTTAATATTGTTTATAATGAATTTTCTTACTAACAAATTTATAATTTTTAAATCATTAACATTTTAGCCGACAAAACAAAATTAAAGGTTTGCCAATATGGTGAAAATTGTTATAGGAAAAATCCCATACATTTTAGTGAATATTCGCATCCACATTGTAAGTAAATTACATATATTTAAAATATATACAAATAACAAACGCTATATTGTAGTGGATAAAATATACGAAAAGGGCATAAATCCGCAAACTAAGAAGTATGACATACCAGACGAGTACGATATGTCATCAGATATTATAGTTTTACAACTGAAGCTGTTGGAAAAAGTATTTCCGAAGGCTGAGAAGAAACAAACCAAAACTACCACAACTCAAAACACTACACAAAGCCAGAACGGTGGTTACAGATTGGGTAGTACCAAAGAGGTACATTAAACTTACAGTAAATGAAATTGTTATAATATATTCTTCTAATTAAGAGCGAAACGGTGACTGTTACTAAACAGGATGAAGTTGAACGAGTGGAGCGTAATAAATCGCCAGTGCCAAGTACTTCATCAGCAGCAGTTAAACAAGATAATTCCAATTTACGAAAAAAGCCAAGAATCGATCGTAACATTAAGGATTACATAGCCGTTGTGTTGGAGAAAGGAAAAATGGCTGAAAAGCTAGAGAAGTCAGCTCCCTATAATTTTTTCCTTACTGCCATTACCGACTGCAAACAGACTCATCATGAACCATTGACAGTAACGCTACAAGGTGTGATAATTTAGTTAATAATAATTATGTTTGTGAAGTTAAATATTTTTCTTTTATGTATAGAAATCTTTGATGAAAGTCTCGGTGAAGTTGAGTCAACTGCCCAGATAAATTTTATGGTTGATATTGGTTGGCTTCTTGGTCATTATTATTTTGCTGGTATATTGTAAGTTGTTATTTACTTTATTGTATATATATTTGTTAAAAGTTTATTTTTTATTTAAGAGATAAACCATTGCTTGTTTTATATGGTGATGATATGCCTGAATTAGCTACTATTTCCAAACATAAACCACAAATTACTGCTATTAAAGTAAATATGCCAACACCTTTTGCAACTTCACATACAAAAATGATGCTCATAGGTTATAAGGATGGTTCAATGCGTGTGGTTATCTCTACAGCGAATTTGTACGAAGATGATTGGAATAATCGTACACAAGGTATTTGGATTAGTCCAAAATTAGACCCATTACCTGAAGACGCTGATACAGTTGCTGGTGAAAGTCCTACAAAATTTCGACAAGATTTATTGTTATATTTGGTGGAGTATAAAATTGCTGCACTCCAACCATGGATTAATCGTATACGTCGCACTGATTTCGGTGCTATTAAGTAAGTATTTGATAGTCTTTATTACATCGGGCTTAATTTGTACATATGTAGAGCCTTAGTGAGTTGTTGTTGTTTTAACCTACTAGGATTTACTTGTAAAATCCGTTTGAGGGGGTGATGAACGGCACTGTATCATCGTAATTGATGAGTGGTTCGGGGATGTAGACCCGGCCGTTCTTGGAACTGCCTTATTCAGTTTTTCTTGTGAGATAGGTTACCACTAGTTTTTAAATCTATATAAAAATTATAATATTTAAATCAGGCTACATAGAGCACTTATGAGTGCGGTGTCTAAGTATTTCGTGTCTTCTTGTGAGACAGTCTGCACTACTAAGTACAACTAGGTATATGAAAATTATATATTTATTGGGCTCACATATAGGGCCTAAGTCCGACGCCCGACCGGGCCCGCAGCTTAGGCTGTCCTAACTACTAAGGTTGTCTCCTTAAAGGGAATAACGCGGGTAGAATAATTGTATTCATTTACAATCATTCGATGTGGATTTGCATTTTCCAATCGGGTGCTATGATCCAAAGACCATCAGAGGTGTTAGATAAGCTTCGCTCCGCACTAATGGCGAAGTAATGCCCAAGCACATAACTTCAACTGATACCGGCGGAATTTTTATGGGATGTTTATAGCCGCAATATATTGTGCGTGTGTTAAGAACATTGTGATGTTGAGGCCTCACGTCAGGTATGAACGTTAAATTCTAGGCCTTCATATAGCGCCTAAGTGAATAGTGTCTTCTTTGAGATGAACCTTAATACCCTCAAAAATCATACCACACTTTATTAATAAATTTAATTTACAGTGTTTTCCTTGTTTGTTCTGTACCTGGAGGCTTTTTCGAAGGACCACGTGGTCATCCTTGGGGACATGCGCGGCTTAATAGCCTTCTGAAGCAACATGCCACTAAAATAAACTATAAAATACCAGTGATATGTCAAAGTTCTAGCATAGGCAGCTTAGGCGCCAATGTACAGGCGTGGATACAACATGATTTTCTTAATAGTTTGCGCAAAGACTCAGAGTCTACTGGTTTACAACAAATACCACCATTCAAAATGATATATCCGAGTTATGGTAATGTGAGTAATAGTCACGATGGCATGTTAGGTGGTGGCTGCTTACCTTATAGTAAAAACACAAATGATAAACAACCTTGGTTACGCGAGTACTTGCATCAGTGGCGTTCAAATGCGCGTTATCGTACACATGCCATGCCACACATCAAATCCTACACTCGTGTAAATCTTGAAGAGGAAGAAATTTATTGGTTTGTGTTAACCTCAGCCAATCTATCAAAAGCTGCTTGGGGCTCCTTCAACAAAAATGTTAAACTACAGCCTTGCTTGCGCATAGCAAACTATGAAGCCGGTGTGCTGTTCTTGCCCAGATTTGTGGTAAGTAAATAAACATAATATATAGTTTTGCTGTGTAATTAAAGCGAATATATATTTTTGTGTAATTTAGACTGGCGAAGAAACATTTCCACTGGGCAAAATACGTGATGGCATACCACCATTCCCACTACCGTACGATGTACCATTAACGCCTTATGCGCCAGACGATAAACCTTTTCTAATGGATTATTTACATTAAACAAAATTGTTATTTGTGCCGTAAAGTTTGTTTAGTTTTATATTTCATGGCTTTTTGTTTAAATTTAAGTCGTTGTATTATGAAATAATTGCGGTTTTGTTACGAAGAATATTTTAATAACCCATGTTTTGTAAAATTTTAATTCGTTTTTATTGCTCTTTCTGAACATGTACTAAATTTATTTTAAGTAATAATTTTTTTTATATTTATTAAGTCCACAACTTTTGAACCGAACTGACCGCAAACAAGTAAAACTAGTGAAGCGCTTGCAAAATAAGTTTTATTGCATTTTGTTTACCTCGTGTGCAGCATCAGACTTTCTCTTTATTTAATTTAAAACTTCAATTGCAAAGCATAACTTCAGTTGCTTCTAAGTACGCTAACTGAAAACTAGTTCAGCGTTTAAGTTCGGTGTGAAAATACTAAATATTAACATGAATAAATTTAAATATGAATTTCCTTTCGAAATCGAAACCGTTGAGTCAAACTTGAACTCCGAATTATTGGAATATTTTCACGGTAATATTATGGGATATAGTATATAGAAAACATATATATAAAATAAATATAATAAAGTCGTTTATAAATATATTTTTTTATATTATATTTAAAGATCTAAAGTTACATTACATGAAAAATATAATTTGTGCGAAAACTGAAGTCATAATTAGCGTAGATGAATTAGTATAACTATAAGTTATAATTAGTAAATATAAAAAAGTTTTAGTTAACGTCATAAGTCATAATTAGTAAAGTTAAAAGAATCATCATAAGACATAATTAGTTATAAGAAATCATCACAGAAAATTTGGTCCTATATAAAAACAAAAGACAAGAAATAATCTACTCTAGCACGGTGCTAACTTCTTGAGGACGCCTATTTAACAACGAGTCTGAATATAGACACTATTTTGAACTACTCTTTCTACTACACTATATATCTAATATAATCAAATATAAAATCTGTGCTCTTCTATGGCTGTGAAACATGGAAAGCATCCAACTTCATTGAGTCAAAAATATAGATCATCATAAATAGGTATTTGCGCAGAATACTTGGTATAAGATAGCGTAAAAGAATAAGATATAAAAATCTGTAGAGCTGTACACAACAAGAAACCGTTCCAACTCAATCTGGTCGACGCAAATAACAATAGATTGACTGCACACTTTATAGACCTGTGAACTTTTTACACTTGCAAGAACAGCACTAATGAAACCCCCAAGGCTCAAGAAAGCTTAGTGCATCAGCACAACTTGGCGCAGAACAACAGGCAGAGATCTCAATAATGCAAATTATAGCTGGAATAATATATGCAGCGAAGCACCCAATAGAGTTAAATTTAGATCAATGGTAGAGTCCCTAAGTAAGTAAGTGATATGTCTATACAGTTTACTTTCCAAAATAATGGACTTTGAAGTTGTTTCAAGTTCCAAGTTTAGTTTCCAAAATAATGGACTTTGAAGTTGAATATTTTAATATGAAAACTATCAACAACAACTAAACGCTCCGGTTCCAAAAATGGCAGGGTCTACGTCACGGAGCCACCTGTCAATCTTGACGACCAAACAGGGATTTTACAAGGAGATCCTCACCGGCTACTACAACAACAATTAGAAACACCAACTGGAAATAAATTCTGGATACAGATTATTGTTAGCTGCTAAGTAAAGTGATATATAAACATTACCGCTTTAAAGTGTTATAAAGCCTCGAATATATTTGACACGTCTATTCTGGTGACGCGTTGTTTATGCTGTCAATGTAAAAGTTATTTTACTAGTTGGAACCAGATGAGTGTGTAGTTTTCTGCGTGAGCAATTAATATAAAAAGTTAAGCAGTTAAAACGACAGTATCTCGAGAAGTAGGCTATATAGACATATAGCTATAAACTTATAATAGAAAAAGTTTTCCAAAATAGCTTATCTAATTACTATCCGTTGTCGAAAATAGGCGTGCCCGAGAAATCAGAAACGCACCTTTACCCTTTTATTTATATTACAGATTTATTCTGAAGAAGTGATCTTTGGTCAATACATTTTTTGCATGGAAGATATTGTATCACTCTGACGTATCGTAAAGTATCTTTAACGTTATCTTTAACACAAGATTACTATTGTAACCCGGATTAAAGTCGACTTTAAAGAAGATTTTGTATGATCGATTCTATATTCAGGCACAGTTTTGATTGAAAACTTAAACTCAATAATTTGCATTGGTTTTTAGAGAAGTATTGGATTATGATTAAATTAGGGATTTATGAAATGGTTGTCATAAATATTATGGGATTATTCTCCACTTTTGAGTGAAAGAATGTAGCAATGCTAGAAAGAAATATGTAGTTTGCATAATTGAACAGTTTTTCAGAATTTAATATATAATCTTTGAAAGTCCAGTATTATATTATTAACCCATATATTTTTTTTCATTTTTTGTTTATATTAAAAGGTGAAAAAACTGGCTTCGTACAAGTTGGACCGGAAAAATACTTTTTTCCTAACAAATACAAAAATGAGGCAAAGGAATATTATAATTTTGAAGCACGCTCCGATGATGTGTGGATTGCAACGTTTCCACGTTCCGGTACCACTTGGACACAAGAAATGATTTGGTTAATAGCAAATAATTTGGATTTCGATGCAGCTAAGAGTCAACTACTAACAGAAAGATTTCCATTCTTTGAGTTAGTATAATATGTTAAATTAAAATTTAAAAAAAATATGTGTAATCCAATTATAATAAAATTTATAGATTTCCATTGTTCGTACATCCGGAGATAAAAAGCAAATTAATAGAAGAAAATGCAAATGATGCAGATAACTTGAAATTCATAGAATTAATATCACGTCCAGGTTATCAGTCTTTAAGTGAAATTGAAATCGGTAAAAGACGATTTATAAAGACACACTTTCCATTCTCATTATTGCCACCCAGTGTGTTGGAGAAGAAATGCAAGGTGAGTTCTTACAAAACAAAAAAAAATATTAAATAAATCGTTGAAAAATATTATTTCTACTATAAGATCATTTATGTAACACGCGATCCTAAAGATGTAGCAGTGTCTTATTATCATCTTAACAGATTATATCGTACACAAGGTTATGTAGGAGATTTCTCACGTTACTGGTCTTATTTTGAAAGAGGACTAAGTATATATATTTATTATTATTTATTTATTTAAATTATTCTTAATATTGTTTATCTTAAAGATCCTTGGTTACCATACCACAGTCATATTAAAGAAGCACTTGCTCATAGTCATTTACCTAATGTGTTGATGTTGAAATATGAAGACATGCTTAAGGATTTGAGTGCCACCATTACAAAACTTGCTAGTTTTCTTGATTGCAACCTGACCACTGAAGGTTCAGAAAATCTTATCAATCATTTGAACATAACGAATTTTCGTAAAAACTCTGCCGTGAATGGTCATGAAATGGAAGCGATCGGAATTCTGAATAAAGGAGAAGCGAGTTTTGTGCGTACTGGCGGTAGTGGTGTGCAAAAGGAGTATACAGATAATCCAGAAATTCTGAAAAAAGCAAATAATTGGTTGGAAAGGCAACAAATTGATTTAATATGAAATTATTGTTTTTTTAAAGCATATTTTAATTAATAGTTACTATATAGAAATATACATAGACATATAAATATACATATATAAAATAATGTATGTCTTTGCTTAATATGTTTAAAGTGAGTTAAAATAATATAATAATAATACGTTCAACTGGCATTGACTGTATAAAGACCTTTTCCAGCGCTTTTTTAATGGTGAGCTATACCCAGTTGGGTTGTACTGGTCCTTTAAGTTTCGTCTCGTCCTTATTGCGTTCACAGTAAAACGCTTATAGTATGTTTCCACTGGTCTAACGAAGCCAGTGAAAACGTTCTATTCGTTTGTTTCACTAAGAAAAATAAATTATTACAGCCAGCCAACAATTGTATTTGGGGGTTTTCGGGTTAGGCTAAGGCCCCTATGCATTGCGACCAGTTTGATCTATTGTGCATCCAATAATAACAATAGTAGAGTATTAAACAAATGTTTAAATAAAACTTTATATCGCATATAATTAATTAGTGCATAGTAAATATAACCGAGAGCGATAACAGTGAACAACCCTGATTGTGTTCAATTGGTATAAAATTAGTAAAAGAAGAAAGAAATTACAATACAAAGAAAGAATTTAAGTAGTTTTAAAACAAATGTTTTCAAAAAACTTGTGTATGTATTTTTGTTATTTAGTGAACGCTTTAAAAACTTATTAAATACAAGTTTGTGTATAAATTTAAAATCTGGTCTTAAGTGAGCCACCACACCGACAGTGTGTTATTTGTTTGTTGGTAAGGCAGTTTCAGTTTACAGCACTTTAGCTGTCAAAATCCCATTCCTCCACAAAAGGCTCTATTACTAACAATCTCAATTAAATTGATAAGAAAATGCTAGAAGGCTGGTATTGTCGCACAATGGCTAATGAACAAGCTGCACAACAGGATGAAACATCAGATCCGAATGAAAATTCAGGTTCAGACGATGAACAAGTACAAAGACAAACTATGACAGGAAAATCCGATGAAGCAGAACCGGATTACAAAGAGAAATATCGTCAGTTAAAACGAAAGTTTAAATTTTTGATATACGTAAGTTTGTTATAAGTAAAAATAGTAATAAAAAAATCAATATTATATATATAAATTGTATTTTAGGAAAATGAAAGTTTTCAAGAAGCGTTGCGTGTGAATCAACGTCGTCTGCTTAAGATTGATAGAGATTCAACATTTTTGTTGGAACGTTTGTTGATGTACGAAAAACCAGAAAACACATCATCAGAAAGCGAAGAAACAGAATCATCCGATGACGATGCTACACCAGTGCCAAAAAGGTAATTTTTAATATTAAGTAATAAATTAAATAATAAAATTAAAAAAAAAACTTTAGGTATAAATTGGATGAAAATACTTCAAATGCTGCAGTACGTGGGCGCAAGAGAAAGGGATTTGCATTGCCACCAGTAACAGCTGACAGTAGTTATGCTGAGAGCGAAAAGCAAGAGCAGCAAACCGCATTGGACACACAACAAGGACATATGACAGCGGCTGAAGTCGAACGACATCTGCAATCAAGACAAACTGTTATGGAATTAATGCCTGAACGCGCTCCCGCCACTGTACCCACAGAAATGTTTAGCAATGAACCCTCTTTAGACAGGTAACTAATAAAAGTATTTTGAGTATTGAGTAAAAAACTGATGAAATTTGTTTTTTTTTTTTTCAGTGAATCGAATGACCACATAATTGACGGCTCTTCGCCTACGCATGTAGCCGCAGAGGAGTGCGTTCCCATGGAATATGTTAATTAGACTAAAGTTAATGTTTAATGCAAATTTGGCACAGGCGAATAAAATTAAAAGAAATACGTTTTCGGTATTTTAAATTAAATTTTTATTTTTTTATACTTAATTTGTTTAATGAAAAAAATTTAAATTAGCGATTAAGACAATTCATATAGAAAATATTATGACCTAAACGTACCTACTCCAAATAGTAGGTTTCGCCTTGTAAAATGCAGCGTAAGAAAAGGTGTCGCTTTTGTCGGATATGCACGTAGCAAATACTTTTCTCCATCGTTGATATCAGGATTATGTGACGCATTTGTGCTTTGATTGATGTACTCTTCAGCAAGTTTTGAAAAATCCCAAAGCGTTAAATAATTGTCGAGGCCACCAATAGCCAATATAGTGCCATCACGACTAAATGTCATGGTATTTAAAGTACCTGTATGTTTCACCAAAGTTGTGATCAATTGTCCCTGTGCTAAGTCCCAAACGATTGCTATGTTATCCGCCGCGCCCGAAGCTAAATAGCGACCGCAAGTTGAAAATGCTAATGATGTGATAGTTCCTTTATGACCAGTCATAAGTCTCACCAACTGACCGTTGAAGACATCCCACAAACGTACTGTGCGATCTTCAGAACCACTGGCAATGTAATTAGAGTTAGGATGAAATTGCACACAGCTTACATCAGCCAAATGCCCTACGAATATTCGTAGTGGTTGATATGTGTCAGTTGCCCATAAGCGTACCGTTTTGTCATATGAGCCAGATGCAAAGTAGTAACCATGTGGTGAGAAACGCACATCCCATATAGGAAACAAATGTCCTTTATATACTACAACACAAGTCCACGTTAGTAAAGACCATAAACGCAAAGTACCATCCTCAGAGCAAGATAATAAATTCAATTTATCAGGTGAGAAGGCACAACGAAAAACGGGACCATTATGACCATAAAGCACGCGACATTGCTCACCACTACGTTCGTCCATCATACGCGCCACTACATCCTCACTATCTTTGTCGACATCCTTTAGTTGCTCTGCAGTCTTCATTTCACGCAGTTTGCTAGGTGTAAGGGACCACACTTTTATACTAGAATCGGTTAAACCTACTGCTAATATTGTTGAATCTTCTGAAACTTCGGCGGAGCAAACTGTATTATGTGCATTAAGTATTGTATAAAAACAAACTGAAGGTAATGAATCTCTGTTAAGTGCGATACGCTTCATGGTTTCCCGCAATGATTTCAGCTTTTCGAGTTTGTCGGAGTCTTTCATTTCTGGCAGCGGTATGCGGTCATTTGCTGGTGCATTTGGATCAGTTTTCGATTTTTTTGAAAATAGTGGATCCTTTTTAGGTTTCTTTTTTTTGGGTTTGTCTGGTGCATCAGGATCATTATCTTCTTCCTCTTCTGGCGGTGCCGGTGCTGGTGTGGTCAATAACTGTATATCTATTTCTTTCGGTAGCCCAAAATAAACACGCACCTTATTATCTTGTCGTTTTGCTTCACCTATCGATGCACCAGACGTGATAGCACACTGTTCCTTACTACGTGCCGTGCCTTCGTATGTATCGAAATGCAGGTGATTTGCCACAATGTCAGCGATTACCTCTTGCTTGCGATCTTGTATATGACGTTTGAAAAGTGAGTGTGAATCACGTGACATACGTATAATGAATTTATCTATATCCATTGCTTCCACCAAGTCATTGTTTACTAAGTGCACGCGTTTCCTCAGCAGCAACAGTTGTTGCAGATCTTCGCGATAAAAATAATCCAAATCTTTACCATATTTCTCTATAAATTTTTGGCCAGCTTCAGCCATATTATGTTCGATAAACTTAAAATATATTTGCACCAGGATAGGATATAAAACCATAGACAATTCATGCTTGTATATGTCTAGCGCTTCACCAACAAAAGTACGCAGATCTTCGAAGGCTTTAATGTATATTTTGGGATCTATTGATTTATCGTATGATGGACTATGTTCACCATCACGTGTTATGAGTTCATTATGATTAAAATTATTATCGGGATCGTTGAGTTCCACCAGATCTTCGCGCCGTATATTTGCTTCATTGAAAAGTATCTCTTCACTTTGCTTTAAATTGTATTTCTTGACCAATTTCATCAAGACATACATGTCCTGTTTGTCCAAAACAACGCCATTGCCATTAATTGTTGAGTAATCGCTCATGTTTACGTTTTTTTATTAGATTATCAATTTTATTAAAAAACTTATTGCTTGCGCCTTTTCACCTAAACAGTCCTAATAACAACAAAATGTTTATTTGCTGCATTATTCAGAGAGTGTGAAAAGTGTTGCCATATAATTTTTATTTAACATAAAAATCTGTAACGTAAGTGGTTACGTACGTCAACGTAAGCTAATATGAAACCCATGACACACTTCAGTATTTTTTGAGAATATATTTTTGATGCTTGCTACACTTTATGAATTCCGGAGATTTAAAATTCATATACATGTACTCTGCTTAGTTGTGTGTGTGTAGAAAAGCAAAAGAAACATTTTATGATTAATAATTTCAATTAATTTGCACAATTAATTTGTACAATTAATTTGTATAATTTAATTTAACAATTTTTTTGAAATTCATAAAGTTTCATATGCCGTTCACGATTGATGTAACTTTTTTAATCGATATTCACTCGAAATGTACAATACTTGAGTTTAATTCATAGTACTTTAGATATTTTGCCAGAGTAGCAAGATTACCCTGAAATAAACAGTTGTTTTATATGACTCAACAAATAAAGTGTGATTTGATTTGACATATGTATGTATGATATATATAAATGCCTTCTAACACAACTACAAAAATGTTGAATTACCCTAAAAACGTTAGATTGGGCAACAAAATTTGACAGATCGAGAGTAAATTTAGATTGAAATTTTGGGATTTCCTTTAGGGGAAATTTATTTTTAAGGGCTGTATTTGACATTTTTGGTCTAATTGTACTTACTTTATGTGTAAGTAAGTTAAAAAGCACGTAAGCCCTTTGTATGGGTATTGAAATTTACTTAGTAAATAACGTTTACTAAGTGGTGGAAATATATTATTATTTATAGTTAGCTTATTTATATGAAAGCATTTTGTAGCGTTATTATCTTCATCAGCGGCTTTAATGCTTAAAGAAGACAAGCGGAAACATATTATTAAGCTAGCAGCATAAACTATTACCAGAAACTACAGACTACCAGAAACTATAGACTACCGATAAACAGAAACTACAGACTACTATCACTGCTAGATAAACATTTATTCTGTTTACTTTACACACATATTCAACAATTTGACAGAACCTTGCCTGCAAAAAAACAATTGTGGACGGAATATTTGTATTATTCTGTTTTTTCAATCACTATAATAATTTACACAATTTTCAATGCATTCCAATTATGGCCGTGTGCGTGTTCGAGTAAATTAAGATAAAGTAAATTGAAATTTCCTAGGGATTTTTATACTGCACTTATGTAAATGTATATTTATTTATTTATTATTTTTGGTTAAAAGTTTTCAAATTTATTTATTTATTTCTTAAACATTTTATAAAATTTTCACAATGTTAAAACATAATTTACCTAATTTTAACTAATTTATCCTACTCGAAACTCTGGTAAATACCAACATTCGCTGCCATACCGATATAATATACTATTTCCCTTAATTTATCAACAATTTACTCGAACTCGCATACGGCCTATATCTAAATTCCAAATATCGATCGTTACGTATTTGAATCTTGGCATACAATATTTTGCAAAAGTGTGGCAACACTTTATGCATGACATTTTATTCTTTCAAAATATTGTGAAAAATCTTGCATTTTTATAGGGAACAAGTGCAAGTGTATTTGTGCGAAGAACTGCAGCAATTTTGTTATTATTTATTTATATTTTTCCTTTAAACAATGACGCGTACTTAGGAAAAATTTTGATATTTAATTAAATAAAAAAGTATTTTAAAAAAGAAGTTAATAAATAAATGTGTAATTATTAAAAGTGAGTAAAAATTCAAAATTTATTAAAAAAAGTGATAAAAATTGTTTTTTTTTTTATAATTGCATTTATCAACGAAGTTATTTTATGGTAGGTCTTGGGGATTCCGATAAGGGTGCGGCAGAAGTTGGTGCTACAATCGCATATATAACTACGTTCTTGGAATTTACATTTATGATTTTTTTTTCAGTAAATACATAAAACGAACAACAAATACAACAACGACGTAAATAAACAAGTATTTATTAGTCATTTATCGTTTGCATTCAGGCCGTAAAAACACACTACAATCGGATCGTTTTGTGCTCTAATAATTAGAACAGTTTTGACATACGGAATAATCTGAGAATATGCCGATTTTATATAGCGTCATCTCGCGCGGCACCACCGTGCTGGCGAAGTATGCTGGATGCGTTGGCAATTTTGCTGTGGTGACGGAACATATATTATCAAAGATTGATGAGGAAAATGAAAAATTGACTTTTACACACAGTCAGTACTTAATACATTATATTTGTAAAAATAAAATTATTTACATGTGCATCACCGATAATGTAAGTAATTACTGAATTGTAAAATATTTCATTTGTTTAGTAGAAAATGATTAATATTATTATTATCGTAGGAATTCGATCGCACACGAGCCTTTCTGTTTCTTGCTGACATTAAACAAAAATTCATACAAACCTATGGACTACAAGTGGCCACTGCTATTGCTTATGCCATGAATACGGAGTTCTCTAAGGTGCTTGCAGAACAAATGCAGTTCTTTAGTCATTCACGCGAAGTGGAAGCCATTTCAAAAGTGCATGGACAAATTGGCGAACTAAAAGACATAATGATTAAGAATATAGGTGAATATAAATGTGGTTAGGAGTAGCAGTGTGAAGTATGAAATATGAAGTTAGTCACACACACATAGTCAAGGAAGCTTTAGAAGTGCTTGTAGGCAAACAACTTTTAAATGCTCATTTGCTTACGGAAATACAGTAAATTAGGCCACCCAGTTTTGCTTTTCTATTTTCTTTTTGTACCTTTTATTCTATTATTTACTGTTGCACATTGTTTGTCTCACAAAATGTTATTTTCTATAATTTTGAAACGGGTTAGTTTTCACGTACAACTTTAACCACAAAACATCTGTGTCTCAATTACTTTAACGTATCAAATTTATTTCATTTTTAACTTTTGTACCCCTCACATAAAAATGTTTACTTTCGTGGTGTTAGAGAGACGTTGGAGAATTAAAAAAGTATATACATATGTTTTATATAAAATTGATTAACACGATGAGATGACACATAACCGATATTTAATCTATTCTTACTCGATCTCCCCTCTCACACTGCCATCATCTATCTACAACCCATCCTTCTTATGCCGTTTATATTATCTGCTTAATTGATCTCTGCGGGCTACAACAACAATAACAACAATAAGAAAGCAAAACATCACATAACTTATATACCTTAAGGTATTAGTTACATGAATCCATGATTAATTTTTCTTGTTTATAATAATTATAAATCATTCTGAAAGCTACAGCTTCATCACCAATATGGGCCAAAAGAACATAATTGTTCTTGTCAGTACAACCATACTAATTTAAAAAATATATATTTTTATACTCGTACATTATCTTCAAAAACAAAAATCAAATATTTGAAAAAATTAAAACTGATGAAATATTATTTTAATTTTTTATAATTTAATTTACTTACATAATTTTTATTATATAAAATGAGTTTTAATTATCACTTGTGGGAAAAACATCTCAAGAGAAGATTGCAATTTTTTTCATTTCTAAATAAAATTTGTTTGCAAATGTTATCATTTTGCGTTTGTTAACGCTTGCTGTGTATATTGTTGTTGTTGATGTAACCCACGGAAATCTGTAAAGCAGATAATATAATTGGAATTACATGATTCCAAGAACAGCCGGGTCTACGTTCCGGAGCCATTCCCGAACAAGTGTCGTTCGATACCTTTCAGAAGGACTTATAAAGCAGGTCCCAGAGGGTTACAACAACAAAGATTGTCAGCTTGTTTAGATTGTCAGTAAATTTTGAAAAGTAGTTTTAAGTTCACTGTTGATACATAAATATCAGATTACAAGTAGCAGGGTTCGCACGCGGAGAATTAATAATTAGAATTGAAATATTGAACATTTTCAAAAAAACTTTTAAGCTTTTATTATTGATCTTAAAATTGATCGTCTTCAAATTTTATATGGTAACACAGTGGACGAACAGGTCTAAGTGGTTCATTATTAGGATCGTTTTTATAATCTAATCTAATCTGAGGTCTGTAAGGTTATTATTTTAAAAACAGTCACTGAAAATTTAATTAAAAATATTTTTAAAACTAATTCTTTTTTTTTTTTGTAGATAATCTTAGAGATCGCGGAGAGAAACTAGAACTACTTGTAAATAAAACGGAAAATTTAAGCAATAATGTAAGTGAATGCTTTCAAATAAATATTTATATAATGTAAGATTATAATATAATTCTTTATAATAATTTTGTTTAACTTATAAATTATATTTAACTTTTTTATTTATTATTTATTTATTTATTATTTATTTATTTATTTATTTAATTAAAGCGAAAGAAAAAATCAATAAAAAATATTAATATAATCTAAAAATACCATTTCGATAATCTCTATGCGAATCTTATGTTGTATAAATATATTAAATTAACTTAGTATCAATGCTTCTTAACTAAATGCGCTATTATGTTACGTATGTTGCGTTCATTAATACTGCCCAGACAACCCAGTACTGAAAGACTAGTCAAAACATATATTAGCAAACTTTAAATCCATTAAAATTTCGTTTTGAGAAGTATACTAAACACTTCTCGGTACTTCAGAAACACGGATTTTCACAGAGATCTGAAGGTTGTAATAGTTAAATTATATAGAAAAGAAAAAAGTATTAAATCTCTTCAATAAAATCCGTTCGAATCAAATAACCGTACAAAAAAATCCAGAATTACACACACTAAAAAACATATTAGGCGCTTAATCTATGTAAGCATTAAAATCATGTCACGATTCCAGTCAGAGAACTTTGTCAACTATCTCTCTAAACCAACTAAAATTTCGTTAAACTACACACTTAATAACCAAAAATGTGAAAATACACATACTAAAAAAGTATTGGATGATATATATATTAAAATAGACTGATATATATACTAAAATAGACTAATATATATACTAAAATAGACTGATATATATACTAAAATAGACTGATATATATACTAAAATAGACTGATATATATACTAAAATCACCTTATAGACTTAGTCAGATACTAATAGGCCCACCGATAAATATAATAAAATATTTTAGAGAACTTGATTACCAACTCAAATAAATTAAGAAAAAATAAATAAATAATTAATAAATAAAATTATGCTTATCATTGTTTCGGTCATTCACTTTTATTTTAAGCTATTTATATTTTTAGAGTGCAAATTATCAAAAATTCAATTAATCATTTCGTTCATTCCGAAAAATTATAAGTATTTTAAAATATTTAATACACGACTCTTATAATCTTAAAAATTATCACATTCGTCTATAGATACGATATGTACCTTGGAGCTTTTTCTAGAATTATTAAAATGAAAATAAAAATTTGATGATTTATAGTCTAATATATATAATAACATATAATATCAATACTAGGTACGATAGTAGTGTAACACAAAAATACAGCAAAGGCATAAAATAATAGAGAATAGATAGATAGATATATAGATAGAAATAGATAGGTTCTCGTTCAAGCTTAGATGTGGGGTCCGTTTAATTAATTAAGAACGGATTGCACTTTTTGAAAATGTGTTATAACATCAGTTTCTTTTATGTATATATATATATATCCCTGATATATCTATATATATATATATATATAATCCCTGTTTCAATCATATATTTATTATATATTTATTAAATATTTATATTATTTATTAAATATTTATTATATATTTATTAAATATTTATTATATATTTATTATGTATATATACTAACTTTTTTTATAACTATTAAAATTGTCGTTTTTTTTTTCATTATGGTGGGATTGTCGTTTAATAAAACTTTTAATTTATTTTTCAGTCAGTCGCATTCCGTAAAGCATCACGGAACTTAGCACGTCAAATGTTTTGGAAAAAGATACGCCTATATGTCATCGTTGGATTCGCAATAATATTTGGCGGATATTTAGTTATTAGTATGATTTGTAATGGCCTTTTATGGCAAAAATGCTTGAATTAAATCACATAATTGATAACAAAAGAAACGAAAGGGTAATAAATTATAGATTAGTTTTCATATACACACACATTTTATAAAAAGGATTTTTTTATATTCCCTATAAATATTTCATATGTTATTTTTAAAATTAATGTCAACGTAATTATTTTTCATTTTAATTCAAATATTTTAAATAATTATAATAATAATTATTTATAATTTTAATTCAAATATTTTATATAATTATAATAATAATTATTTATAATTTTAATTCAAATATTTTATATAATTATAACAATAATTATTTATAATTATAATAATAATTATTTATAATTATAATAATTATTTGTAATTATAATAATAATCATTTATAATTATAATTAATTATTTATAATTATAATTTATTATTTATAATTATAATTAATTATTTACAATTATATAATTAATGATATGATTATATTTTTAATTATAATTATTATTATAATTATTATTACATTTAATATTATAATTATTTTCATTATAATTATTATAACAATTGGCTACAATTATTAAATTTTTATTATTTATATTCTTATATATGTTATTCATTTGCATTTGTTTATTTTTTTGTAATTGTAAATTAGGTGATATAACATTGTATTAAAGTTAGGCAATAAAAGCAGCCATTGCTTGAAAGAGCATTAAAAATATATAATATAGTCTACTTTAAGTGATTGACATGGACGAATAAGATATATTAAATAAATATTGTATGAAAAAAAAAAATTATTATAATCATTATTTTATTAAATTTAAGAAAATATCGAATTATATACATGTTCGATTAAATTAAGTAAAGGCACTTGACAATAATAATTGTAAAAATTTATCGCGGTTGGTCAATCTATAAACGTCTGTTTTATTCCCGATTTTTTGTTTTAGCAGAGTTGACTATAGAATGACGTATTGATAAATATTACTGTTTTTTTATTATTTATTATATTATATTGTCGTTGTAGCCTGAAGGTAATACATGACGAATACATGTATTTCCGCAGGTCCCAGCGGGTTACTACAACATTAGAGTTTACTTTTTAGAATTATTTTTATTATTTAGGCATTTGCGAATCTCAATAGAAAACTTTTGGTTGGCTTTTATTTTTTATTTTATTTTTAAAGTTTTTTTCTAACTTCTAAGTTGATAGTTTTAGTTTAGACACTAGTCACAAAATATATATTTAAAGTATTTCGTAAATTAACGTCAGTAAAATGAACAAAGGAGCGTTCAAGTGTAAGCCTCTCAGTCGCTTTTCTATACATATGATCTAGTGCCACTCACTACTTCTAATAGGAATATCAACAGGTCTTTTCGGGTTACAATAACAAGTACAAGAAGTAATGTTTAATTTAAAAATTAAAATGTATTTAAAAATTTATACAAATAAATTGTAACAAAAATCAATTTAATCGGAATATATGTAACAAAGATTATATATACTAGTGACCTAATAACCTGTTAAAAACATATAAATATTTTTAAATAAAAATTACAACAAAGAATTAGGTAAAATCAGTTGCATAGCGTAGCTCTTCACGAATCTTCCACATATACCACATCCTTATTTTTGATTATGCCAGCTTGACGTAAACCCAAATGTATACCCAACACTGGCGAAGGATATTTTTTCCATTTTCTGATACTATTTGTAATAAATAAATGAAAGACGAAAAAATCAACAGTAGGTAAATTAAATAAATTATCTCCATAAAAAATTTTTGACTTACTTATTTAGTGTTTTCAGTGGTTCATTGTCAGGGTCACGTTTTCCAGTTACGACATCAATAGTTGTGAACAAGCAGCGTGTACATGGTGACACAACTCTAAAAACAGCTTCTTCACCAATTTTAATCCAACCCCAACTATCTTCTGCATATGGTTCATCTACATCCATTTTCAATTGGAAATTACCACGAAATTGTAAACAATTAACTGGGCGTGGTACATGCGTATTAAGTTCCGATATAGAAGCTAAGTTCATTAGCATATAACTGGTAGCATCACCAAATGTGCCCTAAATAATATAGGAAATTATTAACATAACATACCAACGCAGTCTTATTATACATACTGTATCTTCATTAGTTATATGTGGCTCCTTAGCCATACGTTGTCTGATTGTGCGTACTGGTTTTGGGTATGGATAATATACTAAATGCAATCCTTCTTCCTTATTCAGAATAAATTTGGAAAACCATTTATCATACTTATCACCACATAACATAGCGTCTAATTTTGATTCCCACACTGTTGTGTGCACATCTTTAACAGGTTCTTCTTCAGCTATTTTTGCTAAATTCAATACTATGCTTTCCATATTTGGCGCCGAAAATTCAATTCTTGTAGCATCCAAAACTTTGGTAGCAATTAACACCATTTGCGGATATTGTCGCCCGGTAACAAACTCATAATTTTCATTAACAATCATAAATCCACGATCACGAAAACTATCCAAACGTAAACCTAACACATCACATGCCACTTCGACGTCATCAGCGAGTTTTAGTGGTGCACATGATTTCACTGGGAATAAATTGACTTGTTCCAATGTGCCTACACGTCGCCATTTCTGTGGAGTGGCCAATGTCTTGAAACGTTTATAATACCAATAAGATATACCAGATAACATTGTTATACCCAAACTGAAGCCGATGCTATACAGCAATGTATTGGATGTCGGTGGTGCATCTGCAATTGAGTAATCCATTTTGTTGTTGATCGAGTATTAAATATTAAAAATATTTTTTGTACACTTACTAGACATTTTTAATTGTTTATTAAAAAAATTTATAAAAAATAAAAACAAAAATATAAGAAATTTAGATAACGTTTGTTTGACTTCTGCACTCTCGCTTTGTATAGCAAACGTTTTACTATTGTTAAGAGGCAGACTGCCAGCTGCTATATTATATGAAAGAAAGGAAAGCCATAAAAATTGTGGAGTGTCAATCAAAACAAACCGACCGAAAGAGAGCGCCGTACATTGTGGGTTAATGTACAGCTTTTTATAGCTTTCTCACTTTAGGAACATTGAGAGAGAATGTACAACGTCTATAGCTGGCATAAGTGTGTCATTTAAACAGGTTTCTAGCGATAGGTAAACTATGTGAAGAAACCATATACCATATATATGTATATATTGAAAACACTATCAACAATATTTTGCCGGTTTGTTACTGAAATGATTTGATGATTAATTTATTTACGAATTTTTATTTGTTTTTGAGATTTTAGATCTATTGCATGTAGACCTAATGTTTTATATAATTTTTAATTAAAAATATTAATTTTTAAATATTATTTTTGAATTTATTACTTATATACTTATATACATAGTTTTAAACTGATAGCATCTTCGCTTTTTATAAGTTCTTTACTCCACATTATAGACGTCTGGGGGTCTTAAAAATATTTGTTTGATAATAAAAGAATAGGAAGTTGGCAATTTTAGCAGTTTTTATTGTAGAAAGTATAATAAGTTATAGTCTTAAAGCAGGAATCGTTATTGTTGTTTCCTCTCTTAGGATGGACTAATGAACGTGGTATTTTAGGGTCAAACCAAGTTCTTTGATATTACAGTAAGTCCTTTATGAATGTTAAGAAGTGCGAAACTATTCAATGTCTTAGATTTATTATGGAAGAAATTACTTTAAAAAATTTCTTAATACAAACTGTGTAAAGTGACCACACGTTAGTCGTAGTGGCTACTGGAATAATCACTTGCCAGATGTAGGTATTACATTATCTATTTAAGTACGCCACAGGTTAACTTAACTAATATAAAGTGCAAGTTTAATTTTGAGCTTATAATCTACACAGGCGGATACCCTTGTTCACATTAACTAAATTAAAATAAGATAGAGTGCTAAATGACCAGTAGTTAGTAGTTAAGGTTACAGGAATAACAACCAGATTCAAGTATCAGATTATTTGTTTAAGTATGTTACAGGTTAGCTTACCTAATATAATATATAGTAAAAGTATAATTTTAGGTTCATCGCTCATGCAGGGGTGACCTTGCTTCGCAAGACTACACCAAATTAAAATAGAAGAAAGTCTATTAACAGAATATAATTGGAATATATTTTTATTTGTATTATTGACTTTGTCAATTATAGGTATATGTTACTGCAGTGTTGCTAAGAGTAAAGTCTAAGATAACTATTTAATAATCTTATCTTGAATTTGTTTTTAATACTAAGTGATTTTATCAAAAAGATTATAAAATGTAAACAAAAACAGTATGGTCGTAAAAATAATACAAGCCCACATTTTTAGATATATTACAAATGCAAGTATTTGATTGATTTACTAGAGTTTGATTAAAGTTCCAGTTTTGTGGTTATAACGTTGCTTGAAATAAACATCTAAGCTAGACTATATATTGAAAATTGGTTTAATATGAAACTGCATTGCATTTACGTCCAATGTAGAAATTTTTTTAAATTTAGAATTTATATACCTATGTATTATAGTAAAATAGAAAAAGAACACTTGAGACATATTTATTGTACTGTCATAGAGACATGTTAAGGGGGCATTGTGTTTTCCTAGTTTTAATGTCATTTATTTTAGAAACTAATATAAACAGCAAATTTTAGATATATCTAAAATATTTACTAACTAAATAACTTATTTAAAGAATCTTGAGATGCGACATAACGCACAAAAAAATAAAGTTGTTCCGCTAAAATTGAAATCGAGACGAAAAGAAGATAAAGGTGAAGATTATACCATCATTGGAGTCAATATATTTTCATGATATTAAAAGTTTTTGAATTATATTACAATCTATCTGTTATATTTTGAAATGTTCCAAGAAACTGAAATCTATGCATAACCTAGTCAGATCAACACGTCTTTTGGGGATAATCACCCCCTACAATCGCTGGTTGTCCAACCTAGCCGACTCGATTTCGATTTCAGCAGGACTGTTTTGAGTCTAGGGAGTACTTAATTAAGTTCTTAAGTAAGTAGATATCTTATGTATATTTTCAAAATGAGTTTTAAATAAATGGGACGATAGGATTAAGCCTCAGCTGACCTCTGACCATCGTAAATGTAATTTTAGTAATTGTGGTTAAAAGGAAGGGATTGTGCACTGCGACCTAAAAGATCTGTTGTGCCAGTAATTGCAGTTACCAAAATTATATTTTTCAGAATAGCTAGTGATACATCAAACATAGAACCCAATTAAAAAACCGTGGAAAAGAAGTGGAAAATGATCTAACAGAAAAAGTTTCTGTGGGTCAAAGAAACATTTTTAGAAAAAAAATTTTTCGTAGTAGTATTAACCTATGAAATTTAAATTAGTTAATAAATATAAATTTTAATTAATAGAATATTTGGCAATACTTATTCGCTTGATAATCCTTGATAGTAAAACGATGTTTGCTCTAAAATACTTACACTTCTTGGTTACAAAAAAACCTGTAATTCTAATACAAACAATATTTATTAAATTTTATTTCAAATCTCAAAACATAATTTTTCTGAATAACAATGTTAAACTAAACCTTTAACTTTAATATACTTGCAAATGAAGAAATTTCTATTTGCAATTAATCTATTCATCCACTGAATTGTCTTCCACATACATAACGTCATGCATTTTTACATCACCAGCTTGACGTAGACCCAAATGTACACCAAGTAGTGGACTCCCATAATTTTTCTTTCTTCGATAGCTAAAAAAAATATTTAAGATTATGATAATTATAAAAAGTTTTTTAAATTTTCCAAACCTGTTTAAAGTTTTGAGTGGTTCATTGATTGGGCTACGTTCCCCAGTCTTAACATTGATGTTAGGAAGAATACAACGACCGCATGGAGCTACTGCTCTAAATACTGCATTGTCTCCTATTTTAATCCAATTCCATTCATCTTCAGCATAGGGTTCATGTTTATCCATTTCAATATAAAAACCACCACGAAATTGTAATGGGTCTACTGGATGTTCCATGCGTGTATTTAAATCTTTTATAGATGATAGATTCATTAGCATATAACTGGTTGCATCGTTATAGGCACCCTATAATTGTAATATTAGTGTCAAGAGAAAATTAAGTTTGTTATTGAAAAGATAAAGACAAGAAAATAAGGTAATAAGATCTATAAGGAACGAATCTTACGTCAAGAGTTTCGCTAGATTAAACTCAAATTTACATATGCAGTGTGATTTCTTGTTTTAAGGGTCTTGTTATATACACAGTCCCGGTCACGATCACGCTCACGTCAAATGTGAAATTGTTACTGTTTTCAATGTGGATTAAAAAATTGAGAATGAGAGTGAGAGAGAAATTTCAATTTAGTCACTTGGTCCTGGTTGCAAAACTTCCCATTCCTCATCACGTTGGTTAAAACAGTGTCGCTCAGTAATAAATGTCAGAATTTCTGGCTTTAGGAGTAAGTATGTGGATACGTAAGCATATTCAATAATTACCCCTTAACTTTATGTACAAAAAGTACCAAAATAGTAGTAAAGGTAGTAGTACGTAATTTGCCGTGACCTTTTGTCACATGCCTATCTGTATAACATGGCCCTAACACACAAAGCAAATTGTATAGGGATGGACCCAATAAAAAACATGGGCAAACATTTTATAAAAATATTTAGAAAAAAAATTTTTATAATAAAAATCTTAATGTTTCAGAAATATAAAGACAAATCTTTGAAAATCTTGCAGCCCATTCTATACGATTTCATTCGTCCCAAGGTATTGAATCTTGTATTTTTTTTAAATTTGGTTAAGATATAGTCCACATATATTATGTATATATTTATATATTCTATTATTGTTTATAAAGTTTAATTAATATACATTAATTATTTAATTAATATAAATAAAATTCTTTTAGTTTGTATATTCTTTTCTAATAAAACTAAACAGTTATATAAAAAAATATATTTGATTTAAATATCACTTACTGCCAATCTATTTTTAAGTACTTAAAGTAGATATATAAATGGTATCAAAACAGATAAGAAAACAGATTTCATAAGTTTTAAAAGAAGGTAATCAGCTGTCTTACAGATATAGTTGAAATTTGTACAAGATTTTACTTACCGTATCTGAAGATGTTATATGTGGTTCCTTTCTCATACCTTTGTCGATGGGCTTGGTAGGTTCGGAATACGGATAATAAATTAAACGAAGCCCACTATCTTTACCCAACAAATATTTTGACAGCCATTTATCATAAATCTCACCACATGATACACCTTTTACTTTGGAACCAAATACATTGGTGTTCACATCAGGTTTGGTACTATCCTGAGCAAGTAAAAAATAATACAATTCAATATTCTCCATACCGGGTGCTGATATCATCAATTTAAATGCGCTTATTATTGTTATCTTGATCAATACGCATCTCGGATAAGTACGGGCAGTTACAATTTGATTTTTCGTATCGATGATCATAAATTGCCTATCACGTAGTGTAGCCAAACGTAGTCCTAGAATATCGCAGCTTATAACCGTGTCAGGTGTGAGAATAAGCGGCGCACAGGATTTAATAGGGAACATATTAAGTTGCTTGAGTGTACCGACTCGGCGCCATTTTTTTGGTATCTCTTCCTTTTTTTTACTATTGCGATACCAGTGTATTAGGCCTGCTACTACTGTGACGCCCACGGCTGCGCCCACAATGTACGCCAATTTTGTTGTTGCCGTTGATGTGCCTGGAGTATAAAATTATGTTGCAAAATGCACAAAAAAATAAATATTATAGTTTTATGTAAAAGAACCTTACTTGACATTGAGGTTTGCTAACAATTTTAAATTAATTTATTAAATATAATTAAAGCGATAAAAATATGCAAATAACAACAACGATTTGCATCCAATCAGTTTTACAGTTCTATAACATTTTGTGCTCACCGAGCGACTGATACCGCATATTGGATGCGCATGGGAAGAGCTCACGTTTCTGCACACATTGCGAATATTAGAGCAAAGAGAATGAGCAAATCTTATAAGTAATAGAATGTTAAAAATTATATGGTCTTAGCCGACATTCTGAAGCTGCTATACCGGTAATATATTATTAACTGACAGAAGCTATTGAAAGTATCGGTAAAATATAGGTGTATGCAACATATGTGCTATATATAGTTGTGTTATAGTTAAACTAGTTATAATATATATATATATAACACTGTGCGATAAAAAGGATATATTGTATCTTATTTTTGACTGTTTTCTGGGTTAAGGTTTTTGAGCAACTGTGAGCTCAAAACTGCAAGAGATCTGGCTCATTGGCAATAACGGGTTAAAATTTTAAAATAGGGATTTTAAAGGTTGATGAAAAACCCTTGAAAATGATTAAATGATGAATTTGGTAGGAATGAAGAGGTAAACATTTTTCTCTAGCAAAGTAAAATTATTTAGCAAGGTGAAAAAGGTTTTATCACCAGTTCTTTGAAAATAAAAATAATATGAATTTTGACTTTATGGAATTGTCATCGGTTAATATCTTTACTCATTTTGCTGGGTGTACCTAATTTGATTCATGTTGCATATATATGACTTTTATTGTAATGTCTGTTTTTATTTAAAGTCTTACAGATTGGATATTGGTAAACTTTTCCTCTGTCGCTTGAATTCATCTCAGCAGAGCTAAAGAAAAGTGGTGTGAAAGTTATGACGTTTATGTACTTACTGATGGGTTTGCTAGAAAGACCTCCATAAAAAACAGTTTTTGACACACCAGGAAATTTTAAATCTCTATTTAAGGGTGATGTTTTAAGATTTTTGCAGCCCCACAAAGTTGAATATGGCTATCTCACTAAAAGCGACAGAATAATACAACAAAGATGGTTTAATGAATTGCTTATACAGGAGTAATTTATTTTCTTGTCTTACCTTTTTGTGTTTAAAGCGAGGTAGATTCAGACACAATTACCATAATAACAAAGATAAGATTTATTGCTATAAGTTAATCGTTCGTCTTTTATCTAGCTATACATTATCTTTCCTATTATTTTTGGGATTTCCTTTTACTAGATGGTGATTGTTTTTCTTGTTGTTTTAATTATAAGTGCATACTTGATAACATATGCTACTCAAATGCTTTTGTCGAATAATTCCTCGAAAGTAATTCATATTGGCGGTTATTAATTTACTATCACCGATATCATGGCCCTTGTCCAACCTCTCGCATCAAATTTTTTTTTTGCTATTCCAATAGATGAAATAGAGATATATAAAACAGTTTCTGAGAATGTTATGCACAGCGCAGTAATAATGATGTAAGAAAGTTTCTCTCACAATATTAAAAACAATAACTGACTTTGAATATAAGTGATTATAAGATCTGTGTGAAGGGTGTTGAAGTTTCGGTCAACATTTTTTATTTCAATATTATTTCTAAATGATAGCATATCAATTTCAAAAATGACTGCAAATAATACATAATAATAAAGTTGGCGTGCTCTCCTCAAATCAATTTCTAGTTCTCTTTAAACTCTATATATTATCTCTAACCTGTTACGATCAGAAGAATCGACTATGCTCTCTTATAATATAGCCGGTGTTTCAACTTTTACAAACAAACAAGAATTTTATTTTATTTCGAATATAAAATTTCTCATTAATATAAGTGGTGGGATTTGAGATGTGTTTAATTTACGATGGGCTATTAAAAGTGCATTGATAATGAAAAGCCAATATTAAATTTTTATATTCACATTTTCGAAATGAAGTTCTATATATAGACACTGGAAAAAATTAGATTATTTTTACTGTTTTTGCATACCAACACAAATGAGATTATTTCAACATTTATTATTACGGTTGTTCTACAAACAATATTTTACAGTGCTGTATTCTAATAGATGGGTATCTAATTATATAAAGGGTATTATTATCTAAAGTTCCATTATATATATAAATAATATATACATATTTTATTATATATTCAAATGTTGTTTGGAAGATATGGAAGGTAGACTTCTAGTTCTGCGCAGTTTTGTTAATACAGATAGGAGATTGATTCCAGAAGTTGATAGGAATTACAAAAATTTTAGTATAATAGAACTTATTAGACCAGGTTAGGTTATACCGGCGATCCTTAGAGGATCCGTTTAAGCCTATTAGCCCATTGTGTTGCCATATATAGGAATAAATGTATATAGGTCTAAAACATCCTAGAACGTTTGGCGAAGCTTAAAATGCTATTTAGTGTCAGGTCTTGCAATTGGTCAAGATTTTCAAGAATAGGGGCTCCTAATGTATGAAATCGCCGCCGTGCATTACCTGAGTAGAAACATAATAGATGAGAGGTACTCTCATCGTCTTCCCCTTTACTGTGACAGGTGCGATTGAAAGAGAGATTCCATCTTCTACCATGGTTCCATAGTTTCAAGTGACCTTTAAGTAAACCTACCATAAGACTGATAACTCTCTGGGGAATTTCAATGAGAATATTAGATTTCCTTTTAATGGAAGTGGCTAGATTGCATACAGATGCCACCATATTGTTGAGTCTTTCCATCCTTTATTAAAAATTTAAGCACGGAAAGAACGTAGTAACAATTAAATTACGATATGTCCAGATTTCTTATATGTTCAGAATGATGTCCTGAAGCACCCTTTCTGGCTAGCTCATCTGCTTTGCAATTGCTAAAAATATCTCTATGACAAGGGACACAAAATAATAATCATAAAAATTTTAATATAATAGAGAACTTACCTAGAGAACTGACAGTAAAAAATGTTATTTAGTTCTACATTACCATAGCTATAGCTATAGCTATAAACCATTAAAATTAAGTTATATATATCTAACAAAAGCATCGAAGTGTTTGTGTAGACTTATTTTCACATTTCAAGTCTATTAATATAGTTTTAATATAATTGTATTTCATTTAATTTTCAGATTTATTCTCATAAAACAGAAAAATATAATCAGATTCATATGATTATCTCTATAGGTTATTTTATATATGTATATTTGTTATGGAGCTCGAATTATTGTTTTATTATTACATTTATTTATATAGACGAAGGCGAAACAGTATAAGTACAAACATTTTTTTTAATGGTCTTTATATTAAATATATGCGATTTTTACTAACACCTATGCTAGTTTGTCCTATGCTAATGCTGAAGACATCGCTGAGTGTGTTAAAAAAGTGGGCTCCCGAAAACTGAGGTCTAGACATAGACAACCCTAGACATAGGCATAAACAGGTATTCTGGTGTTGTTTCGTCTGGCGCCGTTACCCATGCGTTGCTGAAGATACTACACGGTAGGCCAAGCTTAGCTTCATGCATTCTATGGTGTAGTGACCTGAAAAGACATATATTAACCTCGATATTTCTGATTTACTTCTGAAATACAAAATTTATTGGGTTTTTTAGGATTACAAATTTATCAAATCAGAGAATTGCCATAATAATACAGTAAAAGCCACATGAAGACATATGGCCCGTTTCTTGGCAAGAGCTGGACATGAGTAGACACAATGTGTGGTTTTACCACTATACATTTTATTGAATCTGCAGGTATTAGCATCTTCTTAATTTAATTTCAGAAAGGTTGAATTTAATAGACTTCTATAACCATATTCGGACACATCTTAAACAAAAAAAAATATAAAAATAATTGAATATATTGTATTAAACACTTTATAAGACTTGAAAGATCGTTTATAGTTTTATGTAAAATAGTTGAAAGTAAATTCATATATCGTCTCCCTATTACTATACATCGAATACGCTCCTGTCCATCAGTTATCTTTCGGATTAAATTTGTTTATCAAAAAGCAAAAAATAAAAAAAATTCGCAAATGCTGTGGAAGGTTCTCACAATTAGTTAGTGACTGAGAGTGCGGGAAATAAGTAACGTTATATACTTAGTATGTGCATGTGTTGTGTGTTAGTCGGAACTAAGTGAAGTGTTAACAAAATTGGTACCAAACAAATTAATGTAAACTAAAATTTAATAAAATATTTCAACTTCACTAAGTAGTCAGATTGTTATAAAAACATTGTAAACTAATTATGAAACCGGTCTCTATACTAACTGCTGCTAGTTTAGCTGTTGGCGCAATTACTGTTTCTTGGTTCATTTGGTCGCACTATCGCAAAAGACGCGGACCACACCCGGCTAAGGAGTGGATTTATATCGGTCAAATAGGCGCAATCAATTTGTTTCCAATTAAATCTTGTGCAGCGACTAATGTTGATGCGGCTGAGTGCAATAAAGATGGTTTAAGTTTTCGTAATATACGTGATCGTAATTTGTTGGTGCTTGATGATGATAACAAACTTGGTTCCGCTATGACACATCCATTTATGTTGAGCATAAAAACTGAAATTTTATCCGAAAATCAGCTTACTTTATCTGCACCTAATATGCCATCAATTAATGTTAATTTAAAACAAATATTAGAAGGAGCAGAAGCAAGGGGAAAATCTATGGGGGGCTATCGTTTGTTATTGGTTGAATGTAGACCAGAACATCATATGTGGGTTTCTAAGGTAGTGCTTAAACGTTCAAATGGTTTGCGCTTATTTATATCATTAGATCCAGGTCTAGAGATGAAATGGTGGAAAATTAAGAAGAGTGTAAGTAATGGATTTGTGTTAGTTTGTCTAAAACTGCAAATGTAGTATGTTAGATAAATTATTTATTTGAATAATTAAATTCATACTCATTTAAATATTTAAAATTATAAGGTATATGAAAAAGAATTTTTACAAAAATTGATATGTCCTATGATCCTTCATTTAGTCATTACTCTATTATTCGATTGCTAGTAATAAATATTTTATAATATATAGTTATAATATATATAATATATAAAAAATAATTGAAACAACAGAAGAAAAATCGTATATATATACGCATAGAGAATTAAAATAATCTTTGATTTTATTTTCTATTTACTCTAAATTTATAGTACTTTGGAGTTTTTAATACTCATAGTATAGTAAAGTACAGTATAGTTCAACCTGATCGTAAATATGCATTATTTTTATAATAATAATCCATAATAAATGTAGAAATGTAGTAAGGGTAGTACTCTACTATCATAACTATTATGGAAAATTAAGTTGAAGAATGCCATAAAATTTTCTGATACGGTTTTTTATACATGTTTTCAGATGATTTTAATGTTGTGAGGGAAGACTTAGTTCCATACAGTGGTTTTTTCCTATAATGATTTATGTATTATGTTTTATACATTACTTGATTTCTTGAACAAGGGGATTTCTTGAATATAAAGCTTGATATTCAAAAGAGTCTTAGATTTAATAACTATTTAAGGGAGAAAGATAGGTCAAGATATTTACCAACCCATCTCAGATAGTCTACAATAGATTACTTACTTTGACCAAGATTTTTAATGTTCTCAAATGCTTACCGGTTTTCAGACAAGGCTCTGCAGATTTGTTACCATTTTAACAGAATAGGCTTTTCAGAAACCAGTATCTATCGCTTTTGTGAAATGGCTGAAATCGTCAATGGTGATCAACTCCTAATGATCGGTTGATACAATTGCGGTTAGCACAATGGATCATTTTAAGTCGCAGTGTATAGTATTCTTCACATCATCGTTTATAATAATACACATATGGTAGTAGTTAGTTAGTTGAAGTGGAGGGGGAACGAATCCTCTTTAATTAGATAAGAAAACCATTTTGATTCCACAATTTCTCGTAATAATGGGTAGAAGAGTGGTCAAGTTAGAACCAGCGAGTAATAAATGCGAGTGTCCGACCATTGCCAAAGTTTTAAATATCACAGAGTGTGTTAGAGAAGAGCTTTTAAAAATAAATGGTAATATTTTTCCAGTTATTTATATTGGACACAAGTAAATTATTGAAATATTTGTATATTATATTAAAAATCAACTTTCACACTTTTTTCTGGTGTAATTTCGATAAAAACTATTGTACATAATTTATAATATAAAAAATAGATATAAAAAATAAGAACTAATATATATAAATGTAACATATATTATAAATACATACATATTATAAATATTATATTTGTATTTATCATATATTTATATTATGATACTTAATAATAATTATAATAGTATATTCTATTTATATAATTATAATTATAATTATAATTATTATTTTTATCATACCTTTTAATATAATTATATATTAAATTATGATATGAAAATAATATGATTAAATCTATATATTACAAAACAAAATATATAAAATATATAAAAAATAAAATAAGATAATATTTTGATATATTATATATTGTAATATTGTTATAAAAAAAAATTTAAATTTCATTAATTTCTAATATTATTAAATTTTATTTCCATCATACATAAATATATGTGATATATATTATAAATCATTTGTTTACCATCTAGGATGTCTATCCTGTCATGGCGGTACATGACAAATCAATTACGGAGTTAAACTCAAGACTGCCAGAGAGTGAACAAGTTGACCATTTGCGCTTCCGTGGTAATCTACTTGTTAAAAGTGAATCATGCCATCAACCTTTTATGGAGGATGATTGGGCTTGGATGAAAATTGGTAAAAGATCTGGCAAAGTGGATGATACAACTATATTAAAATTTACTGAGCCTTGTAAACGTTGTGCTATAATCAACATCGATGCGCTCACTTGCAAGCGTAATCCTAATTATGAGCCCTTGAGAACTTTAAAAAGGTAAAAGATGTTATGAATTACAGAAAAATCTCTACAATATTTGCTATATATCTAGATTTCGTACACGTTCTCATCCTTTGGAGCCAGAAATGGGTATTTATTTTGATGTTTACAAAACGGGTAAAATTTTCATTGGCGATCCCGTTTATGTTCAGGTGAAAACAAAAGTTGATGAGTTATAATTATTTTTATTTATATAAGCAATTATTGTTAATTATTCACTTAATCAATATGTAATTACAAATATAATATAATCATTTTAAATTCACAATACAATGGTAAATTAAAATGCATTTCGCAGATTTTTATATGCGCAATTATATTTGTAAAAATATATAATTGAAAAAATTGTAATTTTTTTATTTGTATTGAAATATATATAAAATATAAAAATAAATTAATATAAAAATAAAAATAAAAACGAAAATAAAAATGATTACAACGAGACCAATGCTGTTTCCATTACCAATAGTGATTTCATATTCAACATAATCAACAATCAGCTTCGAAAGCCTTCACGATCCTACTCACTTCAGACTGTTTCATCCTCATCAGCCACAAAACCATAAGTTTGCCAAACTCCGGAAACATTTGGCAGTATCCAAGCAAAGGTCCAATATTTGTAGTGTGCATGTTTTCGTTTCATTTATATTGAAATGCTCAAATATTTATAAAATTCATATGGATTTTGTATAATTGGAAAAAAGTTGGATTTATTCAATATTATGGCAACATTAGCTGAAGGGCACAGAGCACAAATAAAACTGATGCGGCATGGCATGCAATTTGCATGGAAATAAACTTTTTTCAAATTTGCGTCCAAAATTTTCTATTTTTTATTTGTTAAAATTATACAAAAAAGGATGTGGAAACTTGCATAAAAATGAATTAAAATAAATAAATGAAATATCTGTGAAAAAATGTAAAATAAATAAGTTTTGCAAACTTTATTTGTGTGCATATTAATTTTTAATGTAAATAGGCTTATGCAGAAATATGAAGGAGTGCATTTATCCATGCATACTCACCGGTTTTGTAAAATGCAATAGAACCGACCGACCGCCTGTCAATGTGGTCCACTAATGCTTTTTGCGGTCAACCACAATTCACTGCTCAGGCTCATACAATCAAATCCACAAAATCATAAAAAAAATTATATTAAACGCAAACAAAAATTGCGGTTAAATAGATTTTTTATTTAATTCTATCTTGTATTCCACATCATTAACTGCTTTGCGATATAAAAAGGCTTAAATAGCACATAAATTATTTAAAATGTAAAGAGTTTTATTTTAATGAAATTAAAATTATTTTAAACGCCCAATAGAAGTATTGGTATTAAGAGTTGGGAGATGCTAAAGGAAAAGGCAGGGGATGCATATGTGCCTTAAACTAAGATAGCATAAATTTTTGCCTACTATTCGTAAGGATATAGTAAAGTATAGGGTCTCATAAATAGCAAAGTTTTACTTTAATACTTAAATATTCTGGAAAGTTCTGTTTGCAGACCTCAAAAAAATGCTCCAGGGTTATAGATTTTGCTCCGATAAAAAAGTCATAGTCGAAGCTAAGACGTAACCTAAGGGCAAAGATAAAACATATTACAAGAGAGGTATTGAAATGTTTGAGGAGCACTGAAATGATTGTATTACATTCTATGTAGGTACATATTATATTGATGAATAAATTTGAAGTCTCCTTTGTTTTCTGAAAAGATGTAGTTTTTTAGGTTACTAACCGAATAAGTGGCTACCCGAATGAGAAGTGTTAATAGCGCAAGTTGGTGTTTTTTTCCCAAGGACGTTGATGGAAAAAAATGATCGAAAATAAAACAAACTAGGAACGCATAACAATGTTTATTGTAAAGTTCCTGAAGTTGAGAAAATAGATCTTGATAGAAGGCAGCTGAAGCAAGTAGATATATTACACCAAGACAAAATGCAAGACTACTCACCTAAAGCAGCAACTGGGTCTGGATGCAGGTCATAGCGAAGGAAGTCGTAAATGACTAATAGTGACACCTCCTCAAAGTAATACAGTCGTTGTCCTGGAGTATGGCTGTGTTTGTAGGAATAAGGCCTGAAACCATGTCAAACCAAAGGAAGTCGTGAATGACTAATAGTGACACCTCCTCAAAGTAATACAATCGTTGTCCTGGGGTATAGCTGTGTCTGTAGGAATAAGGCCTGGAACCATGTCAAACCAAAGGAAGTCGTAAATGACTAATAGTGACACCTTCTCAAAGCAATTCCGTGCGAACTGGGCGCTCACTTTCTGTGGCGCTGGATCCCCTTGCGTAGAACCGCGATCTTCATCCCGCACAAAATAAATCAAAAAAAGGAAGACTTTGCTGATAAATTGATTCAAACTGTGCTAAAAAGTTGTGGTTTTGTTGGTTATCTTATGGACTTACCAGCTGATGTGCCATGTAGAGATGTATTTTAAGGAGAATTTGTTGATAAATAAATTGAAGTTATGTCAAAATATTGTACTGTTATTCGTTACATTACAGGCTTAATAAACAATATGTTATAATTTGAGTTTTCCAATGCATTTTTATAAAATTATAATTTTCTATAGCATATTCTTTCCCACACAATCGGTATCAATATTAATTAGTTTCATTTAATAGCATTAATTTTTAAATTAGATACTTATTTTCCAATAATATTATTAATGAAAAATATTTGAATTATATTTTAAATTTAATAATTAAACTTCATAATGAGGAAAATTTTGTTTTATTTGTCTGTTGAATTTTCCACATTGGCCACATTTTAGTTTGAATCAACGTACCAAAAATATTAAAATAAGCCATTTCTGTGGTTGCTTTTAAGCTTCTTTAATGTGGTTTTAATATTTGGAAAATGCAGAAAACATTTTTCCAAGTATATTTTTTAACTTAATTAAAAATGGAAACCCACATTATTTCTGCATTACTACAAATGTTACAATAACAGCAGCAGCAGCAGCAGCAGCAACAACAACAACTACAATAACAACAACAAACTGCATTAGCAACAAAAGCTGAAGCAGGAAAATTGCAATTTTCCTCAAACTTTGCCAATTTGGTTTTATAGAAATGCATCAGTCGCTGCGACTGAGTGCATGTGGATGTGTGTATATGTGTGTACAGCTGTGTGTGTAAGTGCATTTGAGTTGATTAGAAATTTTGCTACTTGTCATTACAGGCGCATGCAATAGTTGGTATTGCGAGAGGAACTTTATGCATCCTGAACGTGGTTTGTAGTTAATGTGAACGCGTTGGTCTTGATTGAAATTTGACTACGTGAACAACAACGTTAAGAACATTTTTAATTGAGCTGCTATCGAGTTTGACTGGGAGTGAGTTGGTATGCTGGTGTGTTGATATGTTGGTGCACACTCGTATTGAATACAATTTCAAAAATAAAAATACTTATTACACAAATGCTGGCACAGGTGCACCATAGACAGTCAGGGCATGCGATGTGTTTTATAGGACTTTGGATAGATTGAAATTGTGTGTCTCAATATTCGCATCACTTTTTGTTGGCTTGATGTCATCGTGTTGTGATGGTGTTGTGTACATGTTGTGCCTTTGTTAATATTGATGCACAAACTGTATACTCATTCTTCCGGTCAGTCCGACGCATTTCCGTTTCGACATAACCACAATCGTTGATATGCTATCAAGCTGTTAGTATAACAGTTTATTATAAATGTGTAGCAGTGCAGTTGTGCACTTGTATGTACGAGTATGATTACATTTGTATTTGTAAGAGTATTCGAGTATTTGAGTATTTGAGTATTTGTACTGAAATGCAATGAAACAAGAAGTAACACATGGGCGAAATTTTAATGTCACTTTAATATGAAACGGAAGTTGCATGAAATTGTTTTACTCCTTTCGAATGGCATAAAATGCACCAGCAACTTATTTCGTATGCTGGCAAGTATGAGTTTGTGGCGGCATTAAGTTTTTATTTGGCTTTAAGTAGACATGTATGGGTAGATTTGTGTATATGCTGTTGTGTGTATTTACATTGATTATGTGGTCATCCTTGGATGGCATGTACACTGACGGATAGACGAACAAACATCTGTTTTGGGAATGCCAAGCGCATCCGGAATTCGTATGCTGTATATGAGAATGCAACAGACTATGAAGTTACTTACGAGTGCATATGTGGATCTTATGGGATTTGGTTTTCCATTGTTTGGTATTGCATTTTTATTGCATTTTTGTATTGTCCTTTTTATTTTTTAGCAATTGTGGAATTAAAGGATTATTAAGTAAGTGGAATAAAATGATTTTGTTTTTAGTATATGATAAAATTCAATATTGATTTTTGTGTGCTGCTGATGAGTGCAGAGGGAAAAATTTTTTTTAAAAATAATATTTAATTTTTTTACTTGCTTAATAATATAAATTACAGAAAAATAAAAATTTAACTTGATGTGTAGGAATAAAATCACAAATGAATCAGAAACAATTCCATTTTAAACAAGTAGAGAAAAAATAATACTGATACTTTTAATATCGCCATGAACTGAAAGGTGCATATCTGTTAAGAAGTTTCGAACTTTGAAATTTATAGAGTAAAGAGTTTGGACCATATGATTAAGCTGGACCATATGATTTGACAATAAAAAAAAACGTGAAAAAAAACGAACGAATACAGATTTATTCCAAACACCTTGCTTTGAATTTGATATATCCCCCGAAAATTTTTACTAGGCTTAAAAGAAAAATATCATTCCAGATCATGTAATAAAATCTTAATTTAAGAAAAAGAAGCTCTCCACAAGGAGAGCTGTAAATTATTATATCTAAACATTTTTTTTTTAAAAAATTGTAAAATGTCGCAATTAAACTGAAGTTAAGTTTAAAAATGAAGTTAAAAATGGGTTAACATTGTTCGATAACGCACCTGATTGACGTTAACAGAGGTGCTTATTCAATAATTTAAGTATTTTTCATAGTTCATAGTTCCAGTCAATATGGAATAAGCCTTATTACTTACGATAATTGTTTGAAAAATCCTTCTAGGTTCAGTGTGTTCTATAAGGATGGTGGGAACAGCTCAAAGATCAATTTACCTAGAGCTTTCGTTTAAAACATATGCTATCACTCTCACCCATCTTGCCAAAGTAACAGTATTACTAGATGGGTACACCTAAAAGAGCCAGCCTAATACATAGATTTAGTCTAAATGGACACGTAGAAATTTTTTTTGTATTTTCCTTGATATTTAAGAAGTATGTTGAAGTATGTATACATAAATAGATACATTATCTGGCTAAACACAAGTAATG